CGCCTAAACGCGCTTTATCCGCCGTTCCAACCTCCGATAACGCCCACGGCTGGATGGAACTCTGGTGGAACGCTGCCAGCGTGGTCGGCAGCTAGGCGCCTGCGAGCATGGGAGCCCTTGGGCTTGGTAGGAGCTTCAGTGGTCAAGGAGGGGCTTCCAGACGCACTCGGCGTACTCTCAAGGACCCATGGTGAACCGGACGCACGACCATGGTGGTGATTGTGCTGCACAAGTAATTGGAACACAGCCAAGACGGAACGAGCCGATAGTGGGCATCTCAGCTGAGTTGAGGAACGCCGTGAAGGTGATCGTTCCATTCTACTCCGACACGGCTACGAGTGAAAGGGCGGCTGCGTTTTGGCGTTCCTTCGAGAAGTGTACGCATAGTATGGACGGTCAAATGAGGTTGACGGCGTTCGGGCAGTGCCTTAAGGGCAAGATTGGCCCAAGAGTGGTGATACAACTCCCGGATCGATAGTTTCGAAGCTCGGAGAGTGCGGTTCCACAACCGATTTATCTGCCAGACTCCTGCGCAGCTGTGGAGCCGACTCAAGGCCGCCAAGAGGAAGCGTGGCGAGTCTGCCGAGGAGTGGGGCGACAGGATCTCGACTATGTGTGAAACCTTGAACTACCACGAATCTCGTATGAGGTACGAGCTCTTCTGCGGAATAAGCAGATGAAGGTGGTATTGAACGCGAGCATGGTCACGTCGATTCCTGAAGCGTGTGCGCTACTGCTGTACAAGAACCTGCATCTCCCTGTCGAGGAAGAGTTCGCCGGCGAAGTCACGGGACAACCAAGGATGAATGGGGCGTCTTCGACAGAGACCCAAGTGCTCCAGGAGCTACGTCAGATGAATCAGCTGATGAGGACGCAACAGCTAGGGCCAGGAACGACGAGAGGGCTAGTAAGCGCTGTGGCTCCTCCGACTTTTCCGCGCGACGGCGTTCCAGTTGTGAGCAGGAACGCCACGGGTTCGACACTCGGACCTCTACGTATTCGTCTAGGGCCCGATACGCTTACCACCGAGGGTGAAGTGGTCTGTGGTCGCTGCGGTCGTATCGGGTGCAGCCGCGAAACTTGTCCTAGAGGACAAGGCCGTTGCAACAGATGCAACGAAATGGGTCACTACTCTATGGAATGCAACAGGCCGAGGCCTCAAGGCAATTATCGGAACGGTGAACGCCAAAGGATGGAGTGTTTCCTCTGCGGTGAAGGGGGCCACACAGTGGCTAAGTGTCCTAGCCTCGAGAGGCTACGTGGTGCGGTGCGGAACGCGACTGTGGGAACGCCAACCGGCGTATCCCAGCAGTGAAGGGGGCAGGAGGAAGGGGAAGGAAGTGTCGCTCCTTCCTCTTGCCTGCCTGGCGACACAGAGGGAGCTGAGGGCTCACCAAAAACTACTGGCGAGGTCAAGGAGGCTCTGGTGGAACGTGGGAAAAAATATGAAGGCGCTCGTGGCGTTCCTGTCGCGAGCGTAAGGACGGAAAC